ACTTCGGGCATGTTGCGAGGAGAAGGTATTCCTTGGAAAAGGATATCATGCTTGGAAAGGTAGAGGGTCAGTGGAAGAGTGAAAAACATCCAACGAGATAGCTTGACGCAGTGACTGCAGCAATGGGCTTAACTGTGTCAGAGATTGTTAGGATGACACAGAATAGGATAGACCTTTTGTTCAGGCCTTTTGTTTATAGCGTTGCTATGAGCTGTCCTCATTAGACAGCATCTAAAAACAACGTAATGACCCTATAAGACATGCTAGAATGACCTTTTATCTTTATGGAAGTAGAATGCCACATCTTTTTTTTTTTTTTTTTCCTGAGGAGTGACTGTTGGGTTTGAACTGCCGACCTTTCAGTTAATAGCTGAGTACTGACCCATTACACCACCAGGGCTCCACATTTCAATCCAAATACTTCACTTATTTTTTCATATAATTACTCAAATGATGTGGATTGAGAACTCATCTGGACATCATTTCAGAATCCCAGGAAACAAGGATGAATGTATAATTTTTTTTGTCCTTATAGATATAACTAGCAGGTGAGGTGGTTTTGCCCGCAGGGTTAGTTTTCCAGTGTTGTAAGTGATCACAGGAGTTTGTATATGGAGGAATATGAAGATATTACTCCATATTCATTTGAATGTGAATGGCTGGGTTGAAAGACATCACAGAAAATGAGATCTGGGCAGAGTTTCAGGAAGGATGGAGAGGAGTTAGGTAAAACACTAGTGAGAAAGTAGTGGCATTATAGGGGCAAGGTCAGGAACAGCATCAGTGGCTCACTAAGACTGTGGCAAATGGTCAATAAACATGACAATGGGTTGTTGGTTAAGACCTTGCATGTGTTGCTCACATATTTGAGTTTTATTCTAAGGATTACTGTTTGCTGTGTACTGTCAAGTTGGAACCTACTCATAACTGACCCTCCAGTGGGTTTTCAGAGGCAGTAAATTTCATGGGAGGAGATTGCTCATCTTTCTCCCTTGGAGCAGCTGGTGGATTTGAACCATGTGCCTTTGGGATTGCAATGAAGCTTCTGGTTGCTAGGCCACCAGAGCTGTCTTAGGCCCCATGGTAATGAAACCATGGAAATGCTATGATAGTCTTGATATTACTATGTTGTTTCTTCCAAGTAAAAGTGGAATGGAAGGAGATGATAATGAAAGCAGAGAAGGAAGCCAGTGGCATATAGCTAAGCTAAAAACGGCCATGATTTTGATCATGTAGCAAAAATGTCATTAAAATATCCAGATACAATAATTTTTCATTAACTTGAGTGTAGTATATTATTGTTAAAGAAAACCACTATGGCAAAGACAGAACTGCTACATTTGAAGATTCCTTGTCACAAAGAGGTAACAGTATATACACAGTTTCAACAATCAAAGAGTGGAAAGTCCAAGCATGATTGCATTTATAACACACCAGCTCTCAAGCTGATATATAATTGATTTGTCTAGAATTCCTGAATGGGACAAGTTGCAAATCCATAGCCAACTCTTCATCATGTGGAAGTTGCAGAAAATAATGAAATAAATGGGAAGCTTGTTAGGGGCACTTGGCCCAATCCTCTATCGAATTAAAGATAATTTAAAAAAGATAACTATAGATAAGTAAAGGGAGCTCTTGTGGCTTCGTGCTACCAACTCAAAGGCAAACCAAGTTGGAATCCACCCACTATTCCTCAGGCAAAAGATGGGACAACCTTCTCCCAGGTGATTTACTGCCTCTGAGAATCCACCGGAGGGTTGGTTATGAGTCAGCTCCAACTCAATGATACATAACAACAAAGATGAGAAAACTGAGACCTGGACATTAAACCGTTTGTAGAGGTGAAGCTTGTCAGTAATGGCATTGAAACTAGTATCCAAACGCCAGACTCCTAGGGCAGGGTTCTTTCTACTACATTCTAACAACGTCCCCCCCAAAAGTATCAAAATAAACTAATGGGAAATGGATCATTATCTGAAAGAAGGACTTTCCAAATTCCTTAAAGCTGCAGAAAAATATTAAAAAGACAAATGTCTGCTTTATATTATTAAAGGTTGGTCATTTTCCCAAATCAACTGACACAAGAAAATCAAAGCCAATAACAGCAACTATTCTTCAAATACTCACCCTCCAAAAATAATTTTGAACTCTTCTCTGGCTTCCTGGTACAGGTATCCAAGGATATGTGACCTAAATTGTTATTACTTTCTTATGAAAGAAATTGAAAACAGAAATGTAAGCTCATTTAGTATTGGTAAGAGACTACTTCATCAGAAGATGAAGTATTGTGGGTATGTGGGCAAGCCATTTTATACTAATCATCAATTGACAGAAAATGTTATATGGCACCTCTTTAAGAGTTGGGGAAAGAAAGAAGTAAAGGAACAATCTCGTAATTTTCCAAAAATATATTGGCAAATTAAGATTAATGCATGTATTATGCCACTGGGACCTCTTATTTAAAGCACCTGCAACCTGGAAGTTGGACCTTTTTGATCAGTAACCTTTGGTGGCTGGGGCCTCTTATTTAAAGCAGCTTTGAGATTGAAGTTGTCAAATGATTTCATCTTACTTAGGTCCACAATCAATACCCTTGATACCAGCAATCAGGAGATCAGGAGACATATTGCACTTGAAAAGTCTGCAGTCACAGACCCTTCCAAATTATTGAGGAGCAAAGATATCAGTTTGAGGACTAAGGTGTGCCTGATGCAGGCCATGGTATTTTTAATCATTTGCTATGCATCTGAGAGCTGGCCAGTGAAGAAGGATGGCAGAAGAAGAATTGATGCCTTTGAGCTGTTATGTGAAGAAGAGGACTGAATATACTATGAACTGCCAAAAGAACAATGAACCAGATTGCTCCTTGGAGACAAAGATAATAAAGGTTCATCTCACATACTTGGGGCACATTGCTAGGAAAGGCTATTCCTTGGAGAGGCACATCACACTTGGAAAGGTGGAAGGATGGCAAAAGAGAGGAAGATCCTCAACAAGGGGGATTGATGCAGGGATTGCAGCAATGGGTTTGAGTGTGTTACAGATTATGAGGACAGCACAGGATAGAACAGGGTTCAGATCTGTTGTTCATTAAAATCACTACGGGTCAGACTTGACTCGGTGACTCTTAACGGCATGTATCACAAGTTTTTAGTAAGTTAAACACCAGTTTGCAATGGTTTTTATTGCTCAGTTTCACATATAATGTAAGAAAAACATTCAACATTTTTAAATGGATTTTTAAAAAAAGTTTATTATGAATCCTGAGGAACTCCTCATCGCCTACCCACCCCTCAAATAATAAAAATCACCATGAGACCTTTTCCCGCTTGGTACAACAATTGAGATTTTTAAATACAACAGTTAATAAGAAATCTGGATAAAAAATGAAAAAAATTCACAAAGTAAGAAATAGTGCATCATTTGTTAAAAGGTGGTAGGTATTGTTTTATTTCAGATTTAAAATTTGCTGATAGTTATTTGAAAAGAGAGAACTTAATAATTCATTAAAATAGATAATCTGATTCATCAAATGCTTTTCCCAATCAGCAACACATTCAAACATTTCACAAAACATTTTAAGCACAAGGTATAGCTAGAAAGTCCGAGACTGGTCAACTTGTAAAGTTATCCAGAGATTATCAATTTAGGTTTTCAAATTTGTACATTTATAAGGTACACATTTTAAAAATGTATGCACTATGTAAAATTTATTTAAAAGCCACTCATATGTCTCATAGATACATTTTGGACATACCTCTCATTTTAGAATAATGGGCCTTTTACAAACTCTAGGACCCCATAGTTAAAAAATCTAAGAGGAATTACACTGTGTTACACAATTCATGTATTATAGGAATACAACATCTTAAAGTGTTACTGTTAGTTTTAATTTATGCCGATAGTCCAGTGGCATGGAAAGACAAAGAAGTAACAATTCTACTCTTCAACCACTGTAGTTTAAATTGTACTAAGTGCTAGAAGGAGCCTTTTATTGGAATATGTTATTAAATAGCACCCGTCACTTGAAGGTAAAGTGAAACATTAGCAGGGAGGAATGCAGAACCCAGGTTTAATTTCTAACTATCAGAGAGGAATCATCTCTCAGATGATGAAATACTAATTAAATCTGCATGATTTTAAGACTGTACTAGAAGATACATCAGTCATACAATATTTCAGGATTTTAGATAGATTATAAAGGAAAACATTGTACATTAGTCTTCAAATTTGGTTACAAAGTAAATTAATTATGCTTATATAACTAAGACAGTGCAATCTCACCAGTTAATTTCCTCTTAAGAGATATATTTTCTCAGTCTATATATTACTTCAATAAGATTAAAAATAGAATAAAAATGCTTTAAAGCAATCTGATTAGAGCTACATTTACATTAAGTACAACATATACAGTAAAATAAAAAAATCTTGTTAAATAGGCCTGTCGTTAACAATACCTTGTTTAAAAGAATACATTTTCACATTTACTTATTTTATTTGATAGAGAATATCACTGCTGTATGTTTCTGTTACTGCTGTTTCTAGGATCTTTACATATCTCTAAAGATCCTCAAGAATTTAACTCTATTGGAAGTTTTAATTGTAGTACTCATGAGGGGAAAAACAACTCAAATCTCATATTTTTATGGACAAAACTATTACAGTGTTTTGAGAGAAAAGTCCTTGGATCATTATAAACTCATCACTATAAACTTTATACTTGTGGGTTAAATCAAAACTCATATGCCCTTACCGTTAAAGTCTTGCCAACCTGCTACATAATTCTGGCTATGAAGTTAGATAGGGAATCCTTGTCTAGTAATTATAAAAGCATTATTTGAAAAGATTTGCCAGTAAATATTTCTGAATGGGGTTGCCCATCTTAATAATTTTCTTAATTAGGGAAGAGTTGGGAAATGAATAGAACAGTAGTGCTTCTGTGTTACAGCAACAAAGAAGTATTAACAGTATCCAAGTCTCCGGACCTGGGGTCCAAGTATTCAGTCGTGGCTCAGCTGCAGGCTGACGGAGGCGAAGCAACGTCCCACGCTCGCACATAATGGCGCAACGAGAGCATCTGTCACGCTCTTCCATATCGTCTGCACTGAAGGCAGGACCATCAGGCAGGTCTTTACAAAAGGCATTATAATCCTGCAATGGAGGGAAAGAGACAGGGAGGGATTATCAGTGTTACCAAATAAAGCTATTCCCTCTAGCACATGCATGGAAAGACACAATGTTAGCCAAATCCACCAACGTTGTTGGAATATTTGAAGTAATTGTTGCTGTGAGGCGACTTCCATTCGACTATGCTTATTTTCATCCCATGAACAACAGGTTGGAGCTCTGTACTGTACTGTGTTATTCTCATGATATTTGCCATATTCAATTTCATTAGTGCAGTCACTGTGTCAATCCATCTCACTGTTGGTTTTCAAGGACTGGTGCCTCCTAACAAGGAGCCCAAAGTAGAGGAGATTGAATTTCAAATTTCACTATCCTTGCCTCTCAGGAACATTCTGGTTGTACTTCCTGCAGAACAGATTTGTTTGGTTACTCTTTTGGCAGCCCATAGTACTTTTCTCCCATTACCACAACTGAAAGGCATAAATTATTTCATGGATTTCTGCATTCATTGTTGAACATTCACATGCATGTGAAACTACTGAAAATAGCATGACTTGGGTCAGGTGCACCTCAGTCTCTGAGCTGACATCATTGCTCTTCAGCACTTTAAAGAGGTCCTTAGTAGCAGATTTTCCCAATGCAACATATCTTTTGATTTCTTGAATTATACTACCATGTGTGTTGAGTATGGATCCAAGTAAAATCAGAGAGAACTTCAGTAGTTTCTCCACCTGGCATGATACTGCCTGTTGTATGGTTGTGGGGATTTTTGTCTTCTTGATGTTGAGGTATAATCCATGTGGATGTCTGTATGTAGGCTTTGAACTTCTTCAGTAAGTGCTTCAAGCCTTCTTTACTTTCTGAAAACTTGTAGGAAATGATTCCAGCTGTAGTGCCTTAACTTTCCCCATTTCAGTTACTGTGATGAATCACTTAAATGATAGTATTCAGATCTGTTCCTTTGAACACAGAAGTACTTGTGATTTCTCACGTGGCATTCGGGAGCCTCAATTAAGTCTTTATTATGAACTGGGAGGGGACACAAGGAAGTAGAGTTGATTTTTCTCATTAAAATGCATCCTAAGTAAATATCTGCTGTTCTTACCTCAAAGTAAAGGGAAGATCAGACATATTTTTTTTATGTTTTTAATTATCCCCACTGACTGTCTATACAGATTATATTTACCTTCTGTCGTATTCCAAATGCTTGATATTTTCAAGGATTTTTAGAAGAAACTGATCACTGGGTGTTTCAGAGCTAAATAGTCTGATGAGAAACCTGAATAATGACCACTTTTGACTTCTTATCTCATTGTTTCTCACTTGATGTATGGCCTTGGGCAAATGGCTATCAGTTACCATGAGAACAGGAAAAATACAGACACTGGCCACCAGGATTAATTTATTATACATCCTTGAAATGTTCCTATGTTGCTTTTGATCTAATGAATAATAGAGGTAACTCTTTTGAGATCAGAATGTATTGTAAAAAGAATTATAACAATACAACTCTAAATTGATGCATAAAAGAAAGAGTACTTAGAAAGTTTCCTAACCAAATCCACTTCAGTCAAAATATATGCACTTTCCCCTCTACATTAGGTTAACACCTTTTCTTTTGGCAGAACCCCTTCCCTCTCTCTGTCTAAAAGGGAATAAGCACCCATAGAAAGTGGACTTTCCAGTTCAGCAAAGTGCAGCTGCGCCACATTTGAAGACTTCGGTTCCTAGAACACAGTGAACTTTTATAAATTTTCATTAAGTGACTGTTCTCTCACTTTAGATCAAATGATATCAAACCCAAATTGTGTTGCCAAAATTCAGATGGTTTCCATTTTGCAACTCTAGGCATTCTGGACCGACTGACTCAAAAGTTTTTGGTTGAGGCTCAATGTGACCAGTCAAACACAGCTTATTTACATAAAAATCACCTAGAAGATTACGAACTCCTCCATTGGATGGTCAGGCTCTCAAGATAGCAACTTTTTTTATTAGCTTTGTTTTAACTAGAGTATCATATATGCATTACCATAGCACTTCTCTGTATTAAAACTGATGTCTTCCAGAAAGGAGATTGCTAATATTTCATTTCTACCAGCTATACACCTACTTGCATTATGTTGTTGTTGTTGATTGCCATTGAGTCGAGCACGATTCATAGTGACCCTCTAAACAAAAGACTTGAACCCTTTCGATAACTATTGTTGTTTCTCTAAGTTCATGGTTTCCAGAGGCATGTTATTTAGGAAGTGGATGCCACTCCTGCATTATAGTCTAGAAAAATAAAGGTTGTGTGGGCTCCTACCACATTTTTTTTGGTATGTTCCAGGATGACCAACAACATGCAAATGGCAGCTGCCTCAGTCTGACTGTGGTGTGGAGTCCAATCACTCACGGATCCCCATAAGTCCATTCTGCCAGCGTAGGACCCAATATCATTAGCCTGCTTTCTGTTTTCTTGTTTGCTTAAAGACTTAAAAATCAGATTCATCATGATGCTGTGGTTTGGCTCAAAGTTCCTTTATTTTCTGTTTTCATAGCTTTGATCACAAACTTCTTGGTGAAACAATAAACACCCTTCTCCCTTCAACCCCTGCCTCTTTTATCAAAGACCCCAAAAATCACAACAAATCCTTACGCAAGTGATGTGACTTTTTACATAAGGTCTTTTCGTGAACTGGTCTGATTGTATCATGGGAAGGTAATCCACTAATAACCTACTTTGTTTATTGTTTTACTTTTTTAATCAAGATTGAACTAACTTTTAAAGTTTTTTTAAAAAATATCATTCCCCCATTTGCAGTCACAGCTGCCTGATGATAAATACGTGATAGTTAAACATTAAATACTTAACTGCCCAAATAAATAGAATATGAAAAGCAAACTGAGGTTAAAGAACACATTTTTTTGTGTCATGAAAAAAAAATGCCTTTCAATGATTCACCATCAGAAGCACAGCAGGGGGTAAAATGCCGCTTTCCCACCCTCTGCCTGGTTCTCAGGAGAACCATGTGGACAGAAACACTGGTGAATTAGTTTCACTTCTATCTTTCCACTGTGTGGAAAATGAAATATTTTTACTCCCTTCACCCCACTTCTTTCATAAAGGCCTTTGGGAAGTCTGCTATGTTGACTATAAATAGGGCACTTTATATTTCCAAATAGCTTCATGGTCAGTATTTCACAACGTGTTTTGTGTGGCCACTCTCTGTTTTAGGTATTTGAATGTGAGAAAATGAACCCAGAGGTCATGGGATTGGTGGTTAGTGAATCTAGAATCTTAAATTCTAGGTGCTGACTTAATTAAGCATCTTGGATTAAAACCCCTATGTTCTCACGTGCCATTGGAGATAACAATAAACCTGGAAAATTATAGGACCTGTGTGTATCTGTTCAAATGTGCAGACACAAATTTCCATTTCTCTGCTGCTGATAGATTCAATGATGTTGGTTGTTTCACTGCAGTCTGGTTATTGTTGTTAGGTGCTGTCAAGTCCAGTATGACTCATGGTGACCCTATGAACTAAAGATGTGAACCCTGTTCTACCCTGAGCCATCCTCACACTTCCTGACACACAAGAGCCCATTACAAACCATCTTTAATGGTCAGATTTAACTGATGCTCTTTGTTTATCCTTTATTTACTTGGTGTATCTTTATTTACCCTTTATTAGCCTGTGATACAGTGACTAAAAGAGACCTAGTGCCATTAGCTTAACAACTGGCAACACTGGGGGTGATCTCAGTGTTCTTTCTCTTAGAGCTCATTGAAAACAACATCAAAAGCTTCTTTAGAAAAGATGCTACATCTCCCTTTAAAGATTCTGCCATGCCTAAAAATATTCTCCAAATTTTACGGTGTATTTTTGGTGTGAATAATGTTATTCAAAACATGATGTTTAGTGAGTTTCCACATCTCTTTCCTCCTTTCCGGCTGACACTCCCATGTGTATTTGTTGTAGTTGTTACTTATCATTGCGTTGGAATGGACCCATAGCTGACCCTCCAGAGGGTTTTCAGTAAAAATGCAAGAGAGGAGACGGTCCAGCTTTCTCCTATGGAACAGCGGGTGGATTTGAACTCCATGCCTTCAGCTTGGCAGCGCAGCTCTTTACCACTAGGCCACCTGGTAGGTGGAATATGCCTTTCAGAGGCCTGCAGCTTGCATCTTCATTCGTCTGTGCTGGATGCCCCTCACGTTGGCGCCTCCTGGATCCTGTCCTCGACCTCCGCTTGTGGCAGGCTCGAAGCAGCCTCTTTCCTGTGGCGCTTAAGCCAGTCTACCAAACCTGCCCAATTATTGTCATTGGCGTTCGGCCTAGAGAACACTTTTGTTTTACCCCAAGCACAGGTGGTGACTGAGTAAAAGGTGATGAAAGAAAAAGAAGGGCCCAGCCCAGAGCCACACGCAGGTCTGAACAAAGCCCTGTGAGAGCGGCTGGGTAGGAAGCATGGTCTCAGGTCCCCACCTCCACACTCACTGCTCGTCTGTATCCAAGGGGAAAAATCGCACGGGAGGAGCGAGGGATATTCTGGCTCCTGTCTTTAGTTTAAACTCTCAACCTCGACTGCTATTCTAGGAAACGCTCACTGGCTTTCAAGACCCCCCCAACTACTGGCTCCCCGAGGCGCCTGGGAAGCTGGTGGGCACCGCTCCCTGTGTGCGGGCCTTGGAGAGGGTTGAGAGGGGCAGGGCAGGGACAGGTGGCAAAGACCATCCTGACGTTTCCGACCCCATCCACCCCCGTGTGCCCCTGCTCACCAGATGTGCAGACAGCTGAGGATGGCGAAGAGAATTCCTGCAGTGAAGGCCATGGGGATGGCCAGGAACACAGTCAGGAATTTGTAGATCACGTACTTGCTGATCTCAAAGAGGGCGTTGCTGCAGATCCACACTTGGTCGAAGGAGTGCGTGGACTCTGGCTCAGCCACCACGTCCTCGAAGCCCAGCTGCGGAGAAAAGACGCAGGGACCCCTTGAACTGTCACCCAACCTTCGCCCAGAACCAGGAGCAGAAAGAAGGAAGGGCTTGGCCACCTTTGGGGGCACCTCATTTCACAGGAATTTGGCTAAGGATTCCTGCCACTCAGGCAATCCAGGGAGGTGGGGTCTGCATGGGGTGCAGGTCTCAGGCCCTGGAGGGGACCCGTGTCAGGCTAGGGGCAGGGGGGATGCAGCCGGTTGGCGGAGCAGGGGCAGCCTCAGGCCCAAGCCGCCGCCTGCGCGTTACCTGGAGATGTGAGTTGAGCCGGTGGGGATCCCGGTCATCGGGGCCTGAGCCCGTGAACTTCTCGGGGTCCGCGTAGTCGACCCCGCTGTGGCGGCTGTAGGCGTCGTCATCCATGAAGAGCTGCACGTCCGCCTTCTCGGTCTCCAGCCCCATCGCTGCGCTCAGAGCGCGCGCCTGCAGCCGGGCTGGAGCGCTGGGTCCCGGGGCCTGGCCGCGCCACCGCCCCTTCCCTTCGCTCCCGCCCCGCCCCGCCCTGCCCCGCTGCTGCCGCTCAGGCCGACACCCAGCTCCGCCCTGCGACCCAGCTGGTGGGCGGGGACCCGGCCAGGGCCCAGGACGTCCCTGCTTGGCCTGGAGTGCTTGGCCTCATTCCCTGGGGTCACATCCGGAACCCCAACAAGGCCAGCAGCATGCCCTACGGGACTGGGGCCCTCTTTCTCCCCAAGAGGAGCCTAAGGGCCTCCTGGGTCACATTCTTAGACTCCCCGAGGTTGATGGCCCAGAGCTGGCAAGCTGCACCAGGAGCGATGGACCTGGTGGATGGAACAGCTTGATGGGTGGGAGCACGAGGTCTCACCTCCTGGCTCTGCCTCTACCAGTGTGCGGCCGGTCGTCAGGTAGAAGCAGTGGTACTGCTTCATAGGGTTGCAATGTGAGAATGAAGTAAGTTCATTCGTTTTACACTCTCACCTGGTCCCTAACACGTGGAACTCAAAATTCACTGCCGTGGAGTCAGAACCAACTCTCCACTGGATTTTCAAGGCTGTAAATCACATGGGAGGAGATGGCCTCTCTTTCTCTCGAATTGCTTTTGGTGGGTTTAAAAGGACAGAGAGGTCTGACCTTTATGTTAGCATCTCAGCTCCCTACTGACTAGGCGAGCATTGTTGCACGGTGATGAGGTAAGACACCGCATTCCTGATGGAAGGACTTCCCATTACCTGGAGGTCCCCAAGAGCCTAAAATGTCTCAGCCATCACAGGTGGACCTGCCTGGGTGAGGAGCGGGTAAGGAGTTACATAGGACAGCTCCAGACGCTGTCCATGGGAGATCCAAGGAAAAGTCTTTACAATCCAAAGGCCAGGGAGTTCTTGAGATTGATTAGTTCGGATGACTTGTTGTTTTGAAGTGCCATGGAGTCAGTCATCTGCGACCCATAGCAACCTTATGTATGGCAGCTCTAAAGCCTGCCCTGTCCTGAGCCAGGCTCACTGACACTAACACATCTACCCCCACTACCCTAGTTACTGTATCAGTCCATATCATCTGGGGTCTTCCTCTCCTGCACTGTCCCTCCACCCTTCCAAGCATTATGTCCTTCTCTAAGGATTGGTCCCTCCTGGCCACATGCTCAAAGTATGTGAGACAGCTTCAAAATCCTAGCCTCCAAGGAAAAACTTGGTTTCACCCTCTCAAAGACAGACCGGTTTATTTTCTTGGTGGTCCATGGTATGTTTAATATTATTCTCCAGCACCACAACTCAAAGGAATCAATTCTTCTGTAATCCTCAGTCATTGTCCAGCTCTCTGATGCATACAAGTAATTGCGAAAACCATGGTGTGGAACAGGCGCACCTTGGTCTCTAGACTGACAATGTTGCTTCTCAGAACTCTGGAAAGGTCCCTGACAACAGTTTTTCCCAGTGCAATTTGTCTTTTTATTTCCTGACTGCTGGTGGCGAGTGTTGATTGTGGAGCCCAGCAAGCTGTAACTATTAACAATCTCAATCTCTTCTCCATCCGTCATGGTGCTGCCAATTGGTCCAATGGTGAGAATCTTTGTCTTCTTGATGTTGAAGACAACAGTCTTTGACCTTCTGTAGCAAACAGTTCAGGTCTGATTCAGTTTCAGTAAGGAAGGTTGTATCATTTGCATAACAAAGGTTGTTGATGAATCTTCCTCCAATTCTAATGCCACATTTCTCCTCATAAAGCCCAGCCTTCTGAATGATCTGTTCTGCATATAGATAAAAAGTTATGGAGACAGGATGCATCCCTGAAACACTTCCTTCCTGATTTTGAACCATGTATTGTTTCCCTGCTCTGTTCTGATGACTGTTTCCTGGCCCAAGTATAGGTTTCACATAAGCATAATCAAGTGTTCGGGGATTCTCATTCTCCTCAAGGTTAACTAAAATTTGTTATGATCCACACAGTCAAATGTCTTTGTATAGTCAATGAAACACAAATAGATATCCCTCTGGTACTCTTTGCTTTCAGCCAAGATCCATCTGACACTGGTGATAATGTCTCTAGTACCATGGCCTCTTCTAAACCCAGCTTGTGTTTCTGATAGTTCTCTGTCAATGTACTGTTCTAATCATGTCTGGATAATCTTCAGCAGGATTTTGCTTGCATGTGATATAAGTGATATTGTTGTTGTTGTTATATGCCTAAACTCTGCCCTATCCTGTGCCAATCTCACCATCTGACACACCTACCCCCATTACCCCAGTCACTGAATCAATCCATCTCATCAAGGGTCATTCTCTCCTGCGCTGTCCCTCCACCCTCCCAAGCATGACATCCCTCTTCAAGGAATGGTCCCTTTTTGCAACATGTTCAAAGTATGTCAGATGGAGCTTCAGAATCCTTGCATCCAAGGAGCAGCCCGGCTTCACCCTTTCCAGGACAAACCTGTTTATTTTCTTAGCAATCCATGGTATATTCAATACTCTTCTCCAACGCAACAGCTCAAAGGCATCAATTCTCCTTCTATCCTCCCTAGTCATTGTCCAGCTCTCTGATGCATAGCAAGTGATTGCAAAGACTATGGCCTGTATCAGACACACCTTTGTCTCCAGATTGACATCGTTGCACTTCAGCACTTTAGAGAGGTCTCTAACTGCAGACTTTCCCCATCATAATACATCTGTTAATTTCCTGGCTGCTGGTGCCAAGAGTGTTGACTGTAGAGTGAAGCAAACCAAAATTGTGAACAATTTCAATCTCTTCACCATCCATTGTGATGCTACCAATTGGCCCAGTGGTGAGAATCTTTGTTTTCTTGATAGTGAGCCTCAGAAATCCACAGCAAGTGCTTCACGTCCTCCTCAGTTTCAGCAAGCAGGATTGTGTCATCTGCATAATGCTGATTGTTGATGATTCTTCCTCCAATCTTGATACCACATTTCTCTTCATAGAGTCCAACCTCCCAGATAATCTGTTCTGCATAAAGATTGAAAAGGTATGGAGACAGGATACAGCCCTGGCGTGCACCCTTCCCAATTTTAAATCATGCAGTCTTTCCCTGCTCTGTTCTGACAACTACCTCCTGGTCCAAGTGTAGTTTTTGCATTAGCATAATCAAATGTTCTGGGATTTCCATTCTTTTCAGAGTCAGCCACAGTTTGTTATGATCCACACAGTCAAACAATAAAAGTGATATTGTTTTATAATTTCCACACTCTGTGGGGTCACCATGTTTTAGAATGGGAATAACTATGGATTTCTTCTGGTCAGTTGGTCAGGCAATTGTCCTCGAGATTTCTTGGCACAAACTGATGACCACATCCAGGGCAGCATCTGTTTGTTGAAGCATGTCAGTTGGTATTCCATCAATCCCTGGGGCTTTCTTTTTTGCCAAGTCCTTAAGAGCAGCCTGAACTTCCTCCTTCAGCACTATTATCTCTTGATCATACATTGTTTCTTGAAATTCTTCTGTGTTAGCCATTTCTTTTTGCCACAGTGACTTTGGATGAATTAGTGGTAAGGAATTACACTGCAAACCCAAAGTTATGTGGTTAGAATCCACCAGCCACCCTGTGGGGGAAAGGCAGCTGACCGTGAGTTAGTTCTTACCTGTTTCCATGGTGTGGCAGTCCCAAGAGCAGCTCCATCTCATGTTGAGTCTCTGGTTCTCTGCATTGGCTGCTCCTCCTTCTCTCCTGGAGGTCTGATGGGTGCAAGAATCTGGGGTCCCGAAGGGTGCCCTGCATTCTCTTGTTTCTTCGTTGCCAGTGCTGACATTCTCAGTCTGCCCCTGACTCTCTTCAATTTAGTGGTGGCATTAGCCAATTCCCTTGTAGAGAGGTTCACACTCCCTCTTTGCATATTTCCTCTCTTCCACATGACAAAGTCAAAGTCAAAGTCAGTGGCTAGGGAAGTCAATCCTTAACACCACAGAGCTGTGGGTGGATTGAAACTGCTCATCTTTCAGTTAGCAATCCAACAGGTAAAAAAATTTGGAGACAACCTAGTCTTAATAGTTGTTGTGTTATTGTATACTGTAGAATCAAAATCGACCCATAGCTGACCCTCCAGTGGGTTTTCAGAGGCAGTTAGTTGCACGGTAGGAAATTGCCCCTCCTTCTGGTGGGATTTGAAAGGTGTGCCTTTGGGATTGCAACACAGCTTCTTGCCACTAGGCTACCAGCACTCCCTTCCAGAGTATTAATAGTACTATTTATAGATATATGTATAAGATGATAGGTATTTATGGAAAGGTACCTTTAAAACCTAAGCTAAGAACAACTCATCTAGGCTTGTGTGTAGCACAGAATTAAAATGAGAAGGATGAATTAATTAATTCATCCCTTTGAAAATAATTTATACATAGCAAAGGGAGCTCTGGCAGCCTAGTGGCAAGAGGCTGCACTGAAATCCCAAAGGCACGTGGTTCAAGGCCAGTGGTTGCTCTGCTGGGAGAGATGGGCAATCTCTTCTTGCCGGATTAACTGTCTCTGAAAACTCACCAGAGGGTCAGTTATGGGTCGGTTCCAACTCTATGATACTCAACAACAACAAACATTAATTAAAATTTTTCTTTTCTTTTCACCTTGCCTTTTACCCACCCTCCCTTCCTATGGGTTAATTTATAACATTCTTATGCATGCCACTATTTTAACACATAAGATATTATGAGTTGTTGTTATGTGCCATTGAGTCCCTTGAGACTCATAGCCATCCTATGTACAACATCTCTAAACCTGACTCTTTCCTGTGCCAACCTTATTGTCTTTGACACACTTACCTTCATTACCCCAGTCAGTGAATCAGTCCATTTCATCGAGCGTCTTCCTTTCCTGCACTGTCCCTCCACATTTTCAAGCATGATGTCCCTCTGCAAGGACTGGTTCCTCCTTGTTAACATGCCCAAAGTATATCAGACGAAGCCTCAGAATCCTTGACTCCAAGGAGAAGCGTGGTTTAATCCTCTCCAGGTT